AAGGATGGCTCAGTGCTTAAGACTGCCTGCTGCTTTTCCAGAGGACCTGAGTGTGATTCCCATGCTAGGCAGCTCACCACTATCTAGAACTCTAGCTCCATGGATTCCAAAACCTCTCTCTGGCTTCCACATGTGCCATACATACATACATACATACATACATACATACATACACATAAATAAGAGAATGTAAAAATTCTTTTTAAAGGAGAGACTATATCAAAGGAGCAAGGCAGAAAGTGGCAGACCATGACGCCTGCCATCCTCCTCTGACCTCTATGGCATGCACACAGGCCCAGCCAGGAACTCACATACACAACTGGGCATCCATCACATACGCGCCACACTCAAATACATATACATATACAAACATCTGAGGGGCTAAGTATGGAGCGCTGTGGTAAGAGTGTTTGTTCAGCACATTTGAGGAAGAAAGGAAGGGAGGGAGGGAAAAAGAAAGGAGAGAAGTAAGGGGTGAAGAAGGAAGGCAGAGAGGAAGGAGGGCATTTCACACTAGTATGGTGGCATACCAATACCAGGAACCTGAGACAAAAGGATCACTATAAATTTGAGGTCAACCTAGAAACTACACAGTGAGTTCAAAGCCACCCTACGTTACATAGGGAGATCTAGTGCTGTCTCAACGAACAAACCCCAAGAAAGAGCATCTCTCCATGGTGACACACACTTTTCTTAGATTGAAGATGGCATCCAGGAAACCCAGCTCTGGGCGGGTTACCCTAGACGTCAGCAGAAACCTGCTTGCTCCTGCTGTACTGCTGACGTAGGTGACTGCCAGGAAAGCAGCCGTGAACCCAGGGAACCAGCCTGTACCTGGCCCAGTCCTGAGGAACAGCAGTGCACATTTGAGGAAGAAAGGAAGGGAGGGAGGATGCCAGGATGAACCATACCTCCTACCCGCCTCTCTCCTTTCACCTGCAGGCATATCCTATTGAGTCTGTCTCCATTGCAGGAGTCTCAAAATAGGGAGCTGCTGCTTCTGCCCTAGTCCCTTGCTGCTTGCTCTTCAGGCTGCAGTTGGAGGGATTCTTTTATTTTTTTAAGCTTTTTCTGCAAAATAAAATAATAAAAAATATATCACAGAAACAGCTTAGATATATTGTAATATATACTTGTATTATATATAATTATTTCTATATAAATATACACTATGTAAATATATATATATAGCTCTCACTTGGTGTGTTTAGAGAGCTGTGCTTGTTTGTCTGGGACAGGGTCTCATGTGGTTCAGACTGGGCACAGAACTCTGAAGCTGACCTTGAACAGATTCTCCTTTCTCTCTAGAGCTGGGCTGACAAGCCTGTGCTATTATACATTGCTTTTCAGGGGCATCCTACCTTTTCCCCCATATTTTTACACTGTGTGTGTGTGCGCGCGCGTGCGCGTCATGGAGCACAAGTGGAGGTCAGAGGACAGTTTTGGGGAAGAGTCACTTCTCTCCTTCTACCATGTAGTTTTGGGGGATTGAACTCAGAGCATCACGCTTGGCAGCAAAGCCTTTTAACTGAGCTCCCGATGCCTCCCTCACCTTGGTTTATTTCTTTTTTCTCTTTCTTTCTTTCTTTCTTTCTTTCTTTCTTTCTTTCTTTCTTTCTTTCTTTCTTTCTTTCTTTTTTGGATTTTCGAGACAGGGTTTCTCTGTAGCTTTGGTGCCTGTCCCAGAACTAGCTCTTGTAGACCAGGCTGGCCTCGAACTCACAGAGATCCGCCTGCCTCTGCCTCCCGAGTGCTAGGATTAAAGGCGTGAGCCACCATCGCCCGGCCAGTTTATTTCTTTATTTGTGTGCCTGTATGTGGGGTGTGTGCATGTGTGTGTATGTGTATTTATGTGTATTCATGAGTGTGTAAATGTGTCTTGGCACACATCTTGAGGTCAGAGGACAACTTTTGGGAGTATGTTCTCTCCTTCCACCATGTGAGTCTCGGGGATTGACCTCAGGTCTTCAGACGTGGCAGCCGCTGCTGCTCACCCGCGGAGCCATCTTGCCAGCCCCTGGTGGCGTTTCTAAGAAGCTCCCAGATGATATAGGTGTCATTGCTCTTGCACCATATTGAGTGATAAAGACCTAGGAGCAAACCTCAGCTTCCTTCCTATGCCCTGCTTAAACTAGCCCCGCCCATTTTCCCTGAGCCGTCTCCACCTGCTCTTTGTCTTGTGTTCTGGTGACATGGGCCCTCCTTCTCTCTCAAGTTCCTGCCCCTGGGCCCTTTCCTGGAGAACCATGTGCACAGCTTCATTTCCTTATGCAGGATTCTGTTCGACTGTGTGTGGTGGCACACACCCGCCGTCCTATCACTTGGAAGGCAGAGGTTGGAGGGTCAGGAGATAAAAGTCACATTCTAAGCTACATAGTGAGTTTGAGTCTTGGATATGTGACACCCTGCCTCAAAAGCAAAACAAAAATAACAGGGGCTGGAGAGATGGCTCAGTGGTTAAGAGCACTGACTGTTCTTCCAAAGGACCCGGGTTTAATTCCCAGCACCCACATGGCAGATCACAACAGTTTGTAACTCCAGTTCCAGGAGACCTGACACCCAGGGCAAAACACCAATGCACATAAAATAAGAATGAATTATTTTTTTTTAAAAAAAAGGATAATTAAAAAAATAACTGACAAATCTCAGCTCTGTAATCAGAGAGCACTTTCTTGACCACACTTTTTCTTCCTTTATAACACCCAACAATCACTGAATTTATTTGGGTAATGTATTGTTGACCTATGTGTGTGTGTGTATGTGTGTGGGTGAATGTACACATATGCCCTATGTGGTTAGGTGCCCAAGGATAGCATCCAACAGTCTGACATTTGTCTAGTCTCCAACCCTGTTGCTGCCACCATGGTGGAATGGGTAGGCATGAATGCCATAGGTCATAGGACAGCAGGGGTCTTTGCCAGGGTGTGGGGACAAAAGTGGTTCCGAGAGCTGGGAGATGTCTCAGTTGGTAAAAGTGCTTGCCATGCAAGCCTAAGGACCCACGTCTGATGCCCTAACACCCATAAAGAAGGCGGGAAAGCAGCGCGTGCCTGTAACCCGAGGCTTGTTAGGAAGCTAGTCTAGCAGACTGGCTATCCCCAGGTTCAGTGAGAGACTTTGCCTCGAAACAATAAGGTGGAGAGTGATTGAGAAGTCTATCATCCACCTGCACTGTGGCTTCTCAAGGCATGGTAGCCACACTAGCAGCGTCAAACCACCCAGGAACTTCCTAGAAAAACAGCTTCTCAAGGCCCAGGCTTGGATCTATGGATCAGGAAGCTACGGGCTCTGGGGCTAGCATTCGAGGATGAACAAGTCCTCCAGTTGATTGTGATGCTTGTACAAGCTTGAAAAACCACCACTGCAGTTTTCTTTCAGGGTGGTCATTTCTCTAAGGCAGGATCTGGAGTGGGGCTCAGGTAACGGTCAGGGCTGGGGGATCTGTAAGTGCAGCACAGGGATCTTGAGCATGCCCCGCGAGGATTGCTATGTCACCGTCATCCTTTGATAGAGGGTCTCACCATATAGCTTAGGCTGGTCTCAAGTGAGGAATCCTCCTGCCTTGGCCCCTAGAGTGCTGGGGTTATAAGTATGAGCTACCATACCTACCTGTATCAGTGATTCCTTTTGTTTTGCTTTGTTAGGCTAATTTTATTTTATGTGTGTGAGTGTTTTGCCCACGTGCATGTATGTGCACCATGTGACTAACTTGGTGCCTACATAGGTTAAAAGGCTTTAGAACCCCTAGAACTGTAGTTACAGATGGTTGTGAGCCATTGTGTGGGTTCTGGGAACAGAACTCGGGGTCCTCTGCAGGAGCAAGTGCCTTAACTGGTGAGCCATCTCTCCACCCTACTCCTGCTTGGGAGCAAGATCTGACTATGATTCTCCTGCCTCTGCCTCTGGAACACTGGGATTAAAAATGTGTGCCACCACACTCGGCTTCATTTTCCCTTTTTTTTTTTTTTTAAATTGATAGATGAGACGGATTGATAGGAGAGTGACTAGGTGTGGCGAGGTTTAAATGCGGGGCTAGGAAATGCTGGGAAATTCTGCTGCTGTGGCCACTGACTGCTTGGGTTCAGGGTCTCCTTCAGGATGTCCGAGTTTAGAATGGAGCTAACATTTATACATTTATACGTGCAACACCTGGGTGCTGTGCGAACACCTCCTTTAGGAAGCTCCTTTAGGAAGCTTAGGTGGCCATGACCTGATCTGATGTGAAGGGGAAACCCGGAGGAAGGCCATTTGCTCAGGTTCACCTAACAGGCAGTGGAGTGGTGGGACTCAAATTTGAACTCAAGTTCTCTCTGCTCCAAACTATCGCCGCCCGTATGTCATCTGCAGGGTATGGCACGCTAAACTTATTTTGTTGAGTCAATAGAACACAGAAGAAAGTCCTTTCTCTTTGCCTGTCCATTAACTTTGGTACAGATCTTCAGGGTTAAGGTCTAAGCGAAGACCACGACAACTCAGGGTCAAGTGTTGTGAGAACTAGATGAGAGTGAAGGGGGTCTTTTTCTTTTCCTTCGATAGTGCTGGGGAATCAAATCTAACGTCTTATGTTTGCCAGGCAAACGTTCTGCCACTGAGCTACATCCTCGGCACATTCCCATACATGGAGGCCTCTAAGCTCATGCAAAAATTCCTGACCCTCAATATCCCAAATTTCAGGACTCATCTAGGTAAGCTCCTGCCCCACCCCATTCGTGGGTCGTGGGAAGCTACTAATGTGTGTGCACTTGCGTGTGTGAGAAGAGGGTAGTAATGGGAGACGTGGGTGAAGGAACTGAAAAGATGGGGAACGAGGCTTCCAAGACCACGAGGCACACAAATTGGAGCAGGCGCAGAACAGTCCCTCCTAGGCGTCAGGCGGGGCCAGAGTGCGGGCGGGGCCCCGAGGGCACGGGCCAAGAGACAGATGGCGCGGTGTGGACTACAAGTCCCAGCATGCCCCGCGGCTACGATCCGGCCCCCGCGGCCGCTTAAAGGCTCCAGCAACTGCAGCCGTCGGGTCGCGGAGGCTTTCGCTTTGCCGCCGCGTCTGGGCGGCGGGAGGAGCGGGCTGGGCGGCTGGCACTTGGGACTTCAGGCTCTGGCCGCGCCGAGGGGCGCTCCTAGTGCAGCCTTCCCGGCTTGAGGCTTCTCCGCCGAGGCGCCCGTGCCCCCCGGGCTCCTTGCCTCGGCCCCCCGCGGCCCCGATGCCGAGGTATGGATAGAGCGGCTTTGCGCGCGGCGGCGATGGGTGAGAAGAAGGAGGGCGGCGGCGGGGGCGCCGCGGCGGCCGCAGACGGGGGTGCAGGGGCCGCTGCCAGCCGGGCGCTGCAGCAGTGCGGCCAGCTGCAGAAGCTCATCGATATCTCCATCGGCAGTCTGCGCGGGCTGCGCACCAAGTGTTCCGTGTCCAACGACCTCACGCAGCAGGAGATCCGGACCCTGGAGGTAAGGGGTCGAAGCGCCCGTAGTCCCGACCCGGCTGTGGCCCGGGAGCCGCCCCGCTGCTTTCCTTCCCGAGTTGCATCCTGCAGCTGGGTCTGCTGGCTAGAGTCTTCCTCCCTTGCCGGGGCTCGTTGATGCGGTGGCGTGAGGACCTACGACCAGCGCTCACCTTGGAAGGATTTGGGGGAGGAGGCGTGAGTGGGGGGTTGGATTGAGGCTGGAGAACCCGCGTGTCTGGTAGGATGCTCGCGGGTATCACACTGCAAACCTCTCGCCGTCCTCACCCCATATTTCCAGTGCCCATAGTAATCACTGTCCCACTGAATCATGCGCTGGACTTTTCTCGGCGTGCTTAAGCCCGGTAGCGTGGGCTGGGGTGATGAGGGGACGTCCCCTGAAGTGTGAGCGTCGGCCGGTGGCGCTGACTTTCCCTCACTACCCACACTCCTTATCCTGTTGCCCTTTCCTTCCCTTTCCACCAGGACTTGTCTGCCGCTTTTCAAAAAGTGTTTGCTGAAGCAGCATTTTTGCAGTTCAGGCGTTGGGATGCTTTTCTTTCGCGCTGTCACACTGCTTAACTGTTTAAAATTAAATTAGCCATTGATTTTCCCACTCCATCCCCAATTATTGGGCTTTGGCCTAGGAAGGATTATACCAAGGAAGGGAACCTTTGGTAAGAACACAGTACTTAAAGGGGGTTGCTGACAGAGATGACCTGGAGTGCAATGAAAAATAAGATGTGTGAGCTGTCTTCTCTCAAATTATAGCTGGGAAGTGCAGATTAAAAGGATTTGGAAGAACCAGCGGGCAAGATGGTTGGGATTTCAGAAGGGGGAGCTCCCCCATCCCTTAAACATTGAAGATAAAACTAGTGCCTTCCTAACTAGCTTCCAAGGACTGGAAGACCTTTGAAAGTACAGAGGGTCAGTTAATAGCTCTGTCCTAAAGACTGGCCTTTCCTCTCCTGGCAAGGATGTCTGTTTTATTAGATATGTGATTTTACACACACACACACACACACACACACACACACACACACTATTACTAATTGCATCTGCCAGCTGTCATAGAGCCAGCCGGTCATTGCTGTACTTATTATAAGACCAGTACTCCCTCCTCTCACACCACGAGCCTGAATCCTTGTTTGATCCAAAATGCCAGGGTGACTCTTCCTTAGCTGTATTTTCAGAAAAGCCACAAAGCCAGGGACATTGGGAGACTCCAAGCCATGCTGGCTATTATTATTGTTGTTGTTGTTATTATTATTGTTATAGTTGCTATAGCAGGACCGACCAGGGCTTTGCTTAAAAAGCAACCAACAAAGCTCTACACCCAGCTTTTCAGCATGTGGATTTCTTGAACACAGCTGAGTGTGTGTGCCCCGCAAAGTTTGGTTTTAAGCTGATACAATAGGAGGCCTGTGTGTCTTAGTTCCGGGTTGTCGTCCAGCAGTGTGTCTCTCGAGCTGCTGTGTTGTTGGGCGGACAGAATGCTCTCTTGTTGGCCTCCGTTAGTCCTCCCCCTGTCCCTTTGAGGTGCTCCTGGATCCCAGGGTGTATGTCGAATGGCTTACTCTCTATTCTCTGCAAATTCTTTGTCTTCTAACGTTGAACAGTTTGATGAAGCTGTGGCATTAGGATACTCCAGAGTCTCCAGATGTCCAGGTCTCTGAGTTGGTTAGGCAGCTGTCTCCCTACTGGGTGCATTGTGAGGTCATCCCCGGTGGCATTCAAAGGCCCAGGGGTCATTTGTAGTATGTAGTATGTTCTGTTCTTTACTGTGTGAAAGGGTCCTTCTGGTCCCTGGAAAGACAGGACTGGGAGACATTTCAAATGGGAATTTTGGGCTGATTCCCCAGGACTGTTACCAGCTAGTTTGGGTGAATCACTTCATCTCTGGGGCTTCACCTTCCACATCTGCTTGGAAGAGATTGGAGTAAGTTCCCTTCAGGCTATTGCTGAAAAGCTCCGCATTCTGTGGTTTAGACTCTGTGTGTGTGTGCGCGCGCGCGCGCGCGCGCGTGTGTGCGCACACTCGTGCATATGCATGCACGCACACGCTCTGTTGGGATGAATTAAACATTTGTGTATGCTATTCTATGTAGATATCCCTGTTTTAAGACCTGCACTAAGAACCAGATGTACTGGACAGATTGTGTAGGAGATGTCTTTATTATAGTGAGCATCTTGACCGCAGGAGTGCTAGGTAGGAACAGAAGGTCCACAAAGCTTTGTGACTGATCCTCTTTCTGTCTAGATGACCCTGGGCAAGTCTGTTAACGTCTACTCTGACTTCCCATCTGTAAAGTGGAGAAGGAGTGCTTTCACCTGTAGTGTTTGATGGAGTCGGTGTCGCCTGCCTATAAACTTTCCCTGGTTGGGTTCTGATGACATTCCTGCACAGGGTGCCTTTAGAAGAAGAAGCACATAGAACCGATTTCCTGCAGGTGGTGACACAGGGCAGGAGGCCATCCTAGAAGGCTGGGTCAGGGCAGCTTACCCCAGCAGTGTGCAGAAAGGCAATTAACCTGGGCCATTCTCAGTCCTCATGAATTTCTGACTTTTTTTTAAAAAAATGTATTGTGTGCAGTACATGTGTGCAGGAGCCTGAGGGAGGCCAGAAGAGGGCATCAGATGTCCTGGATCTGGAGTTGTAGGTTAGTACCATGTGGGTGCTGAGAAATGAACTTAGATCCTCTGCAAGAGCAGTACATTCTTTTAACTTCTTGCTGATCCACCTGTCCAGTCCCAGGTTTCTGATTTGTGTGTGTGTGTGTGTGTGTGTGTGTGTGTGTGTGTGTGTGTGACCTTGAGCTAGGTCTTCTGTAACCCTGGCTGAACTCAGCATAGAGATTAGGCTGATCTTGAACTCATTGTCTCTGTCTCCTGAGTGCTAGGATCCCAGGTGTCTGACTGGAGAACTTGGCTTATCCAACTATATCAGACTTCTGACAGAATCTTAAGAGGCCCAGCCCACTTTGGCCCCTCCCTCCTTAGCTAAACTTTTAATGAGAGTGGCAGCTCGTGGGATGTCCCCTCTGGGACCCTGACCAGGGGCAGGCTGCTTGTGAAGATCCTAGGTCGCGATGATAAGCTATCCGCTGATAGCTTTGCTCTGTGGAGCAGTTGGGCTGGGGTTGGAAGGGGACTAAAGGGGTGAGGAGTGTAGCTCCATGGTAAAACACTGCCTTGTATACGTAGGCCTTGTGTTTAAATCTCCAATCCTACACTTGAAAGGGGGAGAAAGGAGCCAGGGTTTAGTGTTCACTTCCCACCTGCCCAGGGCTGCGCTGGCTGTCTTCCTCTCAACCTCTCAGGATTTACGGGAGGCCCACCAACTTCATCACACACATTTCCCCTGTCTAAAGGGAAAGGGCAGGAGACGCAGCCGGAACTCGGTGTCTCTGGAAGGCCCCCTAGAGGTCTGACTCCTGCATGCAGCAAGGGGCCATGTCACCACTCTCCAGCAGTGCTCATGGAGGGACACCTGGCCCGCTCCACAGCTGGGCCTGCTGCTCCCGTCTGTGGGTTCCCTGTGGGCCCTGTCGGTGCCTGGGGAGACAGTGGTGTGCCATGCAGATGCCCATGCTCGTTCACTTCGTTGTTACTCTGTAGTCTGTTCTTTTTTGCCAGCATGCTAGCACCTCCCACAAACAAGCTCCGTCTTGGCTCAGGTCTCTAAAGGGCTTTCCTCATGAGTCCTTATGGGGAGAGGCTAACAGAAACAGTCATGGGTACAGTCTGCTTTTGGGCACTTCCCTGAGCAGTTGCCCTGGAGCAGAGGTACCCTGGAGGCTTTGCTGTGCCTGGGAAGGCAGAGAGGATTGACCCTCATCCACTGGGCTGGGCAGAGTTCAGAGGCTTCTGTGTTAGGGACTGGCTTCCTCGTGGTCCCTGGAAGTGTCCAGTGGAATGACCAAGAGTGGAGGGATGTGTTCGCTGACCCAGCTTTCTGTCACTACCCATGTGCTTGTGGCATTCCTAGCTGGTGGCTACCTGGACTCCGGTAGGTGGGGACTTTGGATGTGAGGGGTCTGTTCCATCTGAAGGGGAACCAGGAAGGTGGATAGCAGGGCCTCCACTACCATGACTGGCAGAGAGCTCTTCTGAGTGGGCCCTGAGTTAGGAGTTCTGTGGAATCCGTCAGTCTGACTTACTGGTTTCGTAGGAAACATGGCCAGTCTTGGTGACAGCTCCCAAGTCAGACGTCCCCAGAAGGATGCGAGTAGAACCTGGTTCTCTTTTCCTCGCCCATGCAGTGTCTGGAAAGTGTCATTTCGCTGCCTCGGTTTTAACCTTTCACCCGAGAGACTCTAGTTATCACCAATAGGACATGGCGCTGAGGAGATCCTGTCTCTTTTGGTGTCCACTTTCTAGTTGGTGATTTTGAACCTGGGCAGACCCACTGCTCAACTGTCCCTCAGAAGTGGCCTAAGGAGGACGTGCTGTGTGTGAAAGCCAGGAGCCAAGGAGGGTGGGGATGCTGGAGGGAGACCTTATCGCACGCATACGCACCCAGGACCTGAGGCTGGGGTTGCTGCCTGGGATAGACACGGACCGCCTCCTAGCTGCAGGGCTGTTTCTTGACACCTGGTTTGGCTCACAATCCTGGGAAGCAGCATTCCATACCAGATGCTTCCCTGCCTGCCTGCTGGCTGTGGTCCAGAGAGGGACCATGCACAAAGGTGACACTGATGATGTCTGCAGATGTGTGGGAAGGTAACAAAGCCTTGCTTGGGTCCTTGAGCTGAGCCTTCAAATTTTTCTGCCTTTATTTAGGTATAGCATGCTTGTGGAGGTCAGAGCACAGCTCTGTGGAGTCGGTTCTCTCCTGCCATGTGGGCTCAGGGAATCAAACTCAGGTCATCATGCTTGGCTGAAAGCCCTTTTTTTTTTACTCCCCTGAGCCATCTTGCCAGCCCCCTAAGCTATCGTTTTGGTTATTTTATTTTATTTTTTTAAAAAATGTCCTTGCGGGGCAGGCATTTTTACATTTAGTTCAGA